TACAAAATTTGATTGAAAAAGTGTTAAAGTTTTATATTGTCTCTTTCAAACTTCTCCCACAAGCATATTTGAAATTCTTTCGGCTCTTATGTGGAAACTAGAACATGGATTAAACATGCATTGGAACGTGAGCAACTTATAACTATTCCATTACATTTTGTAGACTCGCATTCTGTTGTTGTAGTTATTGAGCGTGGCTAGCATGCAGTGGATATGGATGTTGAAAATGTAACCCATCTTGAATTCGATACACTTGAACATTCACAAGCAAATGAAGTAAGTATTCTCTGCGCCGTGTATAATGGAATAATCACGGAAATTCAAGACCTTTGAAAATTCATATAGAAGTATCATTCATATGTCATATGATGATATCTCTAAGTTTAGTTTATGTTTTAAAGAGAGTATACGTAATCCTAAAACAACCTGACTTTAAAAAATGATGAGTTGGTTCAATTCTATGTAGAAATCTTCATGAAACTCTAGAATAACATCTCTACAGATAATACTGAATATATATTTCTGGAGACAAGATTGATAATTCACTCTTGTTAAACTAATTCTCACGATAACTCTTTGATAGAAAAAATGACTAAATTGAGAGGATATCTCAAAAAAACGTCAAAATATATTAGAATTGAGAAGATTCTCCACTCAAAATTTAGGCAACTTTTAAAGTGAGAAAACAAGTAGTATCGATAACTGGAAGAATAGATCCAACGAGAGTGAATGACAATGTCCATAGACTCTTTGTATATGTTCCAAGCAAACCCAAGGGCTACTAGGACTCAGAAGTTGGAAAGAGACACCATCACTTCTATGACTCCTAAGTTGGAAAGAGTACTCGCCATTGTCACTAGTACTTCGAATTTGATTGTATATGTCAAATTCGTGACTTAGCGCTATACTTGTGATGTTGGAGGTGGCACTCCACAATTAGAGTCTGCACCACTAAATTGTGTTCAAATCTGACAGCTCCCTTGTTATTTTGGTTCTACAACCTTAAAACCTAGGCTTGGACATTCTACATAAACCTTAAATTCATCGTAAATCAATTGAAGACAAGAATCCATCATAACTTATACCTCCGTTGCATTCGCTTGCTGTAGAAGTTTCTTGCCAGCTCAGCGTCTTTATCATCCATATCTACAACTTCATTACGAGGACCTGTTGACAATCTCCATATTCTTGATTTTAGACCCGTAAATTGCGGAAGGGAAATATGGTTCCTCGTAGCATTCGAATGTGGCGAAATAATGTAAATCTCTAGTTTTCATTTCCAGTTAATCCACAATATTCGCTAAAAGTCTTCATTAGACGGTACAAGAGATTTCTCAAATTCTAGAAAGATTGCTGCTTTTCTCGTTTCAGTAGTGTCTAATGAAAAGCTCATGCTTTTTAAACTATGACCAAGCTCTTGGCGCATAATACTATCATGAGGGCGAGCTTCAATCAAATATACGCCAGAAACAGATTATCAGCATTTCAGGACCCAAATTAGGTCTGAACTATCACCATGACAACCGTGTAAGATGTCATGCTATATGACTACCCCAGAAATGAAAACGGAATCTTAATCTTGCACTCTGACGAGGTATCAAGAATTTATTCAGGGAGGTAACAAAAAATGTATCTTGGACACTGTCTTGACTGGAGTCCCTAGATTAGATGTTGTAGAATTGCATTAGTTTGAGACGTTTGAGCATTAGTTCTGAAAGTATTAAAAAGGTTAACTGTTGATCCAGTAATAGAGAATCTTGTGCTCTAATCTCTTTACAACTCTTGTTTTTGTAAATCAAGTAGATTGTAAACATTGTATGTCTTAATGCCCTGGAAAAAATCCTCCTTTCGCAGTTATGAACTTTTCTCACTTTGGTATAAAAATGGAGGGAGGATTTACGTACGTGTGTTAGGGACCACGTTCTCCTATCTCAATCTTGCCCTCTCACTAAACTTGAAAGTAGCGTCATTATATGTGGAACTCACTTGAGTTGGAAGCTTGATTTTCCTAAATTAGATTTTAGATTGGCTTCCTAGGGAGAACTTGAAGAGGGTGAAAAATGTACTGCCATGTGGTCGGATATCTAAGCTCTATTTCCTTACTCAAACTCAACACCTGCATATCATGAAGGTTATGGGCTTGACAAGCAAATCCAATACCCCACTTTAAACTTGAATGGAAAGAGCTCGTCTGGTGCCTCCTCAACATAAGTGACACATGAAAAGAATAGTGGCCATGTCTGAACAGATTTTTTCCCTCATTTGTAGGTTTGTTTTTCCATACGTTGAAAAAATTGCTACAATGTTTTACGATAAGAATCATTTCTTCCAAGTTTTTTCTAACTCTGAGTATCATTCAAGTCAATAGTAGCTAAGCTAGGACTTACCATTATTGGACTATCTCGTATATTAGATAAAATAAACCTTGTTTAATTCTTTTACAGTAAGTTTAATACAAATATATTTATCAAAACTAGAACCAATTTTTAGTCATAGTCCATCATAAAGACAGTCATATTCAGCCGTAAGCTTCAAATTTGATCCTTGTCACAATGTGATTAAAACTTTTTAGCTTATAGTCCAAAAATAAGGAAAAACACTTATCATCAATGCTACTCAGTTTTTCCAGAGCTCGCCATCAACCTTTTACATTTTGCTCCACAGCATTCTGGTAGAAGAAGATGGAAGACTCCAGAGTTTCCTCGATTGTTAAAGTTATCCTCACAACTTCGATGTGACTTCTTCTCTGCCATGTGGTCACCTAATACTACTACAATGCTAACGGAAAATCATGCCATCTTCATCCTCCTTGTTTATTGCAGCAATAGTAGCCTTGCTAACACTTGACTGAAGCGCATCATCTTTGACAAACTTTGTTTCATCCTTCAACATTTCTTCTTCCTCCGCACCATATCTGAAGTTGAACTCGGCAGTTTGCAGTTACCAGTAAATCTGAATATCTGATGCATGCTGTAGTACACTCATTCAACTTTCATTCATCCTTCGTTGGAAAGTAGTCCCAATCCTATCTTTCAAGGTCAAGATGTCTTGCAACAATGTACTTTTGACTTTTGGAGCTCGTACTATTTAGTCATACTGAAGTCATAAATTGAAAAAATATAGTCCACCAAGCTTAGGACGTCATGATTATCATACATTGTGTCTCTAAATTGTAAGGTTGTTATTAGATGTCAAGGGTGCTTCCTCGTCTTTTGCCTTACATACTCCCATGAGCTCAACAAGGAGATATGGATCCTAAAATTGAGTATATAACAGTCACAGATCTTCAAGTTTTAAACAAAAACTTGAAGTATCATTCCGCAAATGTTTTCACATCTCTTGCAATTCGAAGTTTTTGACCATCGGAGTGAGAATGAGAATCATGTTTTCAACGTCCTGAGTCAGAATGGTGGCTATCTCCTCTATTCTTAGAACAATGCTTCATAGCCCCAAACTCGAATTACGATCTATAAGCTGAAATTTTGATTAAACTTGTTGCACGGCTGCGCACGATTCTGAAAGAAAAAGTAATCAACAAACAAACAGGAAATTGAAGTTTACCATCAAACTCACTTCTTTACTGGTAAGAGTCTAACACTTTGGTGACAAAGAAGAGTTTATAACACACACTATCAGACATAGGGCCAAGCTTTTAAATGGGATAACTTCTACTGCAACGGCGTAATGAATATCAAAATCATGATCGGCGCAGATCCGAAGTTACACTTATGCGCTCCTAGACCAAATTACAGAAAGTGTACAAATGAAAATTGGCTTGCTCACTGATGTTGATCCCTGGTTGTCTAGATTAGACTCTTTTGCAGCTGAAGCACAGCGTTCTACTGTCACATAAACTCGAAATATAATTTATTTTGGGACATGTAGCTTTCTGCTTCTAAATAATATGGTGGCGGAAGTTAGAATTACTGATGCCTAAAAGTTCATGGACGATTGTTTGAACTATCGATCTCCAACTGGTCGATTGATTGAACTCTCGGTCTCCAACTGCTGTATCAAAAGCTGCAGGTCAGCGAAGCTGCTTGTTCGTACTTATTTTGGTTGCATGTAAGATTTGATGTGTTTTGTGTTGTGGAGCCCTTCATTTCAGGTCGAGAAGGCTCAGTGCGGTCTATCTCGATTTTGCAAGTGAAGTTTCGGAAGCTTCATAGCTTGTGATCATTTCACTGCTCTTGATTGTTCCCACAGGCCTGCTGGCAATCAGGACCCCGGCCTCCCAGTTTACGAAGTTGGTCAATGTCGACAGAATCTGGTGTACGTGAGCTGGGAAAGATTTCAGGAAGGGCGGCGGTGATACGGTCTCTGAACGTGAGTGTGCAAGGATCCGGGCAAAATTGGCGAGAACCTGTGACAGCAGCAAGAATGTTCGGTCCCGCTCTGAATGAATACCAAGACTCTCTCAGCTTCGGATCATTTCAACCCTCCCCTCTCCTCATCCCCTCCTCCCCTTCCACCAGAGGAAAGGTCTCGAGATGCTCACGATCGCACAACACGTCGAAAAATCCCATGAACATAATATAACAAACAAGTTACATCGACGTGCTGCTCTGATCAAAATTTCCGAAGCTCAGTGCTTTGCATGTCTGCGGCGAGAAAGTGCTACGCACGAACAGACGTCGTCATTCCATTTCTTTGCGCCAAAAACTAAGCACTACGAGTCACAGCGTCTGTGATCAGGTCCCCAACTTCCTCGTCTGTCCCGTATTCGAGATCACTCGTTTTCCTTACGTGTTTTCAGCATATTGAGTCAAACAAGAGACTGTCAGTGCATTGTTCATGAAGGTTTGGCATTGGTTCTAGATAGGTGGATTCGGAAACCACGGCCCCGTGCCCTTCGTGGTCTACTGGTCCATCAATCTAAGACTCACACTGCTGTCATCGTGTCTGGCTGTCAGTATGGGGAAACAAATCCAACTACCCATAACAGAGAGACACAAAAAGCTACGCCAAATTCATATGAATGGAGATTCTCAGACATGGCAGCAAATAATGCGGAGTAACAGAACTTTTACTTTCTTCGAATGTGAACAATAGCCAACTCGTCACAAGAGAACTTATTGTCATGGGACACATACGCATTTTTCCCCGGCATACATTGTGCTGCATGTTTCGACCCGGAGCTTTTATGAATTGCCCTGCGATGAATGCTACCGGGTGTTTCCCATCCCCGTTCAATATACCCAGCCGTGACCACTGATCTCATAAGTCCCAAACAATAACGGTGGCACAAAGATCATCTTTCTGATCTTACAGGAGCTCAATCTACCGACCACCGGACTGTCATCGAAAAGTTTGACAATATTCACATTGATCGAAAAGCCTCCACGGCACATCAGACACCATAATAAAATTTTCCTGAACAGACTGTCTTCTCTCCATGTGAACATTTTGCGGTAATGGAAATAAATTAAAAATTGCTGAAATTTCTGTGACACCCATCGAGCAGCAATGCTTGGCTGACTTCCAGCGAAACTTGACCTCAAACGAGATACATCCAAAGTTGCTGCCTATTCCGATTCGTCCGAACAAACTTGCTCTCGTACAAGTGCGGTTTGCACGCGGAATATAGTCCTGCCCTCGACTTTGTTGACGGTGTTGACGAACTTGTGAGCGTCCTCGCAATTGAGTCGGGCAAGATCTGCATCCGGAAGAGCTGCGCACGCGTCTGGTTTCTCCATGAAGAATCCAAGCTCGTCCTGGCTGTGATGCCAGAAGACGATAGAATGAGGCAGGACACTGGCTTTAGTCCAAGCTGGGAGCTCATACATGTAGTGACAGAGCTGATCGAGAGAGAAGACGAATGTGTTGGAGCGCACATGAACGATCAGGGAGCGAGCGGCGACTTTGGAGTCTTCGAAACGAAGCTCGTCATCTCCAGAGGGCTCGTTACTTTTGTCGGTGCACATCTCAGTCTCTTGTGATTTCGCACTGCGACCGAGAAGATTCGATCTGATGAGTCCAACTTCTTGCTCCAGCTGAGACAAGGCCGTGGCGATGTTGTGCAGATGCTGAGCTGCCGTGCAAGCGGTGGGAAAGCGGTTCAGGTGCTGCTGCCAGTCCTCGAGCCTCGCGATGATCCACTGAATAATGGGAGAGTCCGAGCGAGGCGAGGTGCAGCTGTTGATGAATTTCACTCCCTTCTGCTCCGTGCTGCTGGAATTGACCTCCGTGTCGGGTTGCGTGAGACCGATCGAAGTGCTGGAGCCCCATGATGCATTGACTGAATCATTCCCTCGATCAACCTCCAGGGCCTTCATCCCCAGCGTAGTATTGTCGGGCGACAGCTGCATTCCGAGCTGCGTGCAGGGGTGGAGGGAATCCGACAAAGAAGGCCCTCTGAAGCGACTCCTGAAATCTGAAGCTGGAGAGTGGATTGTGCTGTCACCATCGCGCTGCGACGGCCGCTGCTGCTTCATCGGCAACAGATTCTGAAACAGCCCCTGAGCGTACTCGTCGATGTCTTCGTTTTCCACACTGTTGGTGCAGGAGTAGGCGTCGGCGCTGACGTTCTGAGCTTGTTTCGTGCAGGGGGAGTGAACGCTCGAGCCTTGATCAGGAATGAACGTCTCATAGTTCAGATCGTAAACGTCACCAGCACCAAGGAAGTCGATAGTGCCGTGGGCGACCATCCTTCCCTGCAAGTGTTCTGACTAGCTAATGTCTGTGTGTTCCGAGTAACCTAACCACCTAGAGGAAGAACCTGAAATCTCCCGATCGTGGATAGAGCTCTTCTTGTAATGGTTTTCACCTACTATCAATTCAACTCGAACAGAAATTTCTCGGCAGATCGAAGACTATCTACAGAGAAGCTTCACTCGAGTGCTGCAGGCGAATACGAAGTCCATGGTTTCGACCGATCGACAGTGATGATCGAGTGCTTGGCGGGTAATGTGGACAGTGGCTCCGTGCCAGGAGACTTTAGTATGAGTTCACTTCGCATATTCAAATTCATCTCCTTGGATCATGTTCTCGACAGTTGGAAGCGCAGGTCGACGTTTTACGAAATTTGACTCAAGAGCTCCGTTGCTCGGCCCCAACAGCAAATTGCATGTAGCCATAGCGGATTTCTACACGATAGCAGCTCGCTCTATTTCAAATGAATATTCAAACCTCTGAATCAGCTCGTTGGGATTTTGAAGTCTTGAGCCTCCATAGTCGATCAGTTTTCATGATGCAAAAAATTCACTGCATGCGTCTGACGCCCTTTTAGCCTTCGAGCCTTCAACAAATCTATTTTCTCCGTGCAGAATTGAGTCGACCTCTAGGCGTGCTCGCAAGGTCTGGCAAGGCACTGCGCGGGTTGACAGAACAATGGTAGCATGGAACTCAATCCCAATTGCACTACATATGTTAATACTCACGTCCTACAAAATATGGAGAGAGCTCTCAAATTAGTAAATACTTATCAACTGTTATGTCTGGATATATGGAAGTTATTGAATAGAATTTGAAATATGTGGTATGCAAAAGTCTAAAAAAACACAATACAAATTCTCAACTAGAAAAAAACCAAAAATAACTAAAACTAGTGTCTAGAGATATCTAAAACTAATAACATTATTCAAAAAATAACCTAAATCATAAAACTCAAGCTGTACTAAAGAATAAAAATTCTCAATAGCATCCTTATGTGACACTCTAATACCTCTATAAGTAATAAACACATGTTCTTCATACTCAACTTTTTCTCATCACATAGCTTACAACTATATTCACTCCTATTAGTGTTCAACAAACTACTTTTTCAATCCAAGACTATGAGATCATGTTCCATGTCGAGCAATCATATGACATTTATTGTGAACAAGCATAAAATTCACATGAAATTGATAAAACTCCATTTAAATGACTCATCTACTTCAAATAATATTGAGAATTTTCTCTTTAGAACGTTCTCAAAGTACCATAGGTTGCAAATCCCAATTGAATTCCGTCAAATTACATCTCAAATACCAAATCATCACATCTACAAATCATAGTTTGGGACGTGTGGCACACAAAGCGTCAAGAGTAAGTCAAAAAGCATCAAGATATCTAAGTATTCTTACGTAACTAATACTCAATAAGAGAGCTTCAGCCTCATTAGGTAGACAACATGTTTCTTCAAGAAAAATAGCATATGAAGTCTGGAATCTCACATCCAATTTTTCTTGTAAGAATATCTTTTGCATTTTCTCCAAATGTTGCCAACATGTTTTCTTACGACAAAGATACCACAATTATGTTCCATATAAGATAACCGGAAACACTAAGCTCCTGAATAATAATTTCCTAAGATTCCAAGATGCTAGATGAGCTCCTCTACATCTATTTAACAAGGAATATAGAGCTTTGAAATAAACTTCTATATTCTTTTGCACACAAAGTGCCCAACTATAATCGTGTGAGAAGTCAATGACCAAATATTTGTAACTCCTCACTTGTTACAACTCTAATCCTTTGTAAAAGAAAGAAAGCTTGGATCTAATGTCTACAATAATGACTTTTGATTTTTCCAAACTGAACTCTATCCAATTTTGAGTGGCATTCCGTGCTAGTAATATGACATCATCTGCATAAAAAACGCTTTGATGACAAAGTAGTCTTTAATTCAACATATAATTATTTATAAATTTTCATTTTTTTAATTTGATTTCTATATTGATTTTTTTTTTTTTATTTTACCAATGTTGATTGAAACTGAAATTCAAACTTGTCGATTGGAGTCTCAAGATTTTTGTCAACAAATTTTTGTATCATTTTAATATTAAATTTAATAATCTCATAATTCATGACTTTTAAGATAGTGCTTTTCAAAAAAATTTAAGTCTTGATTTGACAAAGTTCTGAGCTCCAGTAAAAATTATTGTAAAGCATTATATGATGTCATCTTCATATAATTTGAATAAATATCAATTAAATTTAGAATAAAATAATCATATAACTACTAAAAAATCTCTATATTTATATTCAGCATATTATATAACACTAATTATTCACCAATTTCTTTCATTACTGAATGCTTTTTCATTTTTGTTGATTTATATTGGAGCAATATATTTAAGATTCAATTCATTGAACATATATCATACCTATTGATAAATAAAATTCTTTTGATTAATTTAATTTAATTTTAGCATTTATATTAATAGATGAAAATATTTGAGACCCTTGAATCCAAATCCATAAGACCAAAATTAATCTATAAATAGACTTCTCTTTATAAATAGTTTGTGAAAGAGAGACATGTTAAAAAACTCGAAATCTTTACACTGTTTCATTGTAGCATCTATACATGCATGAATGTGACACTTTTTCATCTATTATTTATTATCTTATCTCGAATAAGTTTATACCTAGATTATCAATCTAGGTATAAACTTATGTAAACTTTAATGAACTTAAACCATTCATCAGAATCTTAATATTTTTGTAAAACACATCACATACTCAAAAGAATTACAAGTTAGACTTAATATCATTGTATTGTATATCAGGAATTTGAGAGATGTGAATTCCACAATTCAACAAGGGTTGGTGTATACAAAAGTACATGAGATTCATGAGAGTCTCATGAAAGTGTGCAAGGTTTCCAATTTTAGACATGTGGCTGACACATCAACCATATGGATTCAAAATACTTTTTGTTTCAAAATGGAGGATGTGTTATGGTGTTGTAGAATGGAGAAGCAAGAACCATAGCACTTCAGCTCTAGCTTTTAGGGAATCATGATGGAAAGCTTTGAGAGGAGCATTATGTGGTGTCATATGGCTACGAAACTCTTTCCTTCTAATTTCGGTAGTTTGTTTTATGCTCCACAACAATATGGTGTGAAAAACTACAGTGCAGTGCAATTTGCCCACAACTATGTAGTACATACTAAGAGTAAGCATTTGAACTTTAGGCAAAAAATGTCTTAAAAGACAACCAAACTGCAGAAAATCTCACAAAGGCACTCACTAATATGAAAGTGAGCAAACTAGAGAGTTTCTGGTCTTAAATCTTTTCTACATCCTTTAAGCATGGAGGGTTGGTTTGGATAACCCTTCAATCGGTCGCCTCATGTGACATCGGCCTTCGCTTGTCTTAATCATGCATAGTAATTGTGAGTGAGTGTGTGCTTGTGTGTTTTCATGTGATCGCTTCCTGTTCTTTATTGTAAACCTGCATCGTGATATCTGCGAAGACCGTTGTAGTAGTTCCTTTGGTTTCATGCAAGGCTTCATGTATATTTTCCTGCTGCTAATTTTTCCTTTCTACTCATTATGGACAACTTGTAGTTAAAGTTACCCAAGACCTTCTGTTGTATACTAAATCCTCTAAGTCTATCAATGTGGTATATTGCCTGAAGTAGAATGAGTGGAATATCTCTGTGTCACTGGAACATATTCCCTGTATTTGCATAGAGACAGAGCAAAATCTGCATCTTCACGTTCTATCTGAGATGGATACTTACAGTTTAAACACCACGAGACCAATACAAAGATTATATTCGGACGAAAAGCAGTAATTAAGAATTATATGTGCTTCGTCCTTTGCTAGTCGAGTTGGACGTGCAGTAGGTCGTTCCATTACCCACAAACATTCACCTGATTTGGAAACTCATACTGCAACGTTCATACCCAGTTCGAGGAGAAAAAAACCCATCAAGCATATCTGTTTCAAACTATTGTCAGCATGTTGAGATGCACACACGCACTTCAGATAAGAAAGATGCAGTGAGGAACACAGAGTGTCAATCAATAAGGAAGGACATGAAGGTGACCCATCTACAGAGTCCAAGTAGTGAAAATATGACGTTATTGGTTTCTCATTCTCAATAAAACTTCGAACAAGAGTCCTCCGATTGCGGTCATTGGTAATAAGTTTTCTGAGACGAAGTAATGCACGTTAAGCAGTTAAGACAGAATTTCTGGTTTCCAGGAGAGCGATAAACATACAGAAACTTAGATCTTGTCCACCACTACTCTCCTTTCCAAAATAGTTAAACAGATTTTAGAGTCCACTGTACCTGAAGAGTGCACTAACGAAAGCAAGGTGTCTGCTTGAATTGATTAGCTCTCGAAGATATACGACTGAGACTTGTTGAGACTTGTAATCTCGACTGTACATAGCAAGGTCTATATCTTCAAAAGCCGAATGGTCTAAAAAAAATCTTGGAAATATAATAAAGAATTTAGCATTGGCACTGTGTGCTTGACAGCACAGGTTACATGCCATTACCTTTGTGATCTAATGCGTCTCTGACGTATAAATGAAATTAGAGATTTTCACCTCCAATCGAAAAATTGGAATATAATATATACAGAGCATGTACTGGAGTTCGAGTACGTTTCATACTGACACTTTCTAGTTTCTATACATGCTCTCTGTGACATGAACCCCTCTTTCCAATTGATTTGGTTGGAAAGGGGTTTACTTACCCTCATCGAGGTGGGCGCGATGACCGACCTTGCGAGTTTCGAAGCACCAGCTATCATAACAGCTCTGTAGATTTGGCCAGTCTGACGGAGACATTGCATACTCCTGCAGCCAAATGGCCAAGAGAACCTCCTGATCAGACTCAGGAAGGTTTCTAATGGCTTCAGCCAGAGTTTTTTCGGCGTCCACCTTTTCTGTAGTGTTGAAAATGACACCATCTCCTCCGTGAGTAGCTGTGCAGAACAGAGGGATCCAGTGCAACAGCAGCTTGAATTTCACCTCTCTGGCCACGTCTACATTCCCCTGGACGATTCCGTGTACGAGCAGAGCGGTGAGGCGGACCATGGAGCGCTGAATCCGGGGCTTCGCAGAGAGTGCCATCGAAGCCAGTGAACTGCAGGAGCTCCACTGATTGATGGCCTCTTCGAGGGCAGAGCACTCAGACAATTTCTGCGCCAGCCAGAGGAGCTCTTCAGCCAGCTTCTCCGCCATCAGAGTCCCGTTCTCCTCGTACACGATCCTGGTTGGGGGGAAGACGTGAGCCCAGTGCGGCGATGGGTTAAGAAAACCTCCGATGGTGGAACGCACGAGTGACAGGGGAGCCGGGAGTGGCAATGCCATTCCTCCACCGGGCAGCATGCGAACGATGAACTTCAAGGGCACACTCCATATCGTGCCCACCCTCTTCTGCTGGTGCAAACTCGCCAAGGTCTCGTTGAGGAAGGCCAGGGTCCTTTGGAAACCGGCCGAGAGAGCCACCCGGTTCACAGACTCGAACCCGTGCCCATGGCTCAAATTCTCTGCAATGATTTTTTCCGTCAAAGCTCGGGCGAATGCGTACTTTCTGGACGATGCCGGCAGATCGTTCACTAGACTCAAAACCTGCAGCAGAGCCCGCCCGATGGCCCCGCTGGACTTGATTCTCAAATGATCCTGGTCTGTATCCAACGCCACTCTGATGGTGGGTGAGTCGGGGTTGCCCAGTGAATCCAAAGCCGTGGAAATCCCGCACACGTCCATGCGCTGTGGGACGAATGTGAACAGAACTCGCATTCCCAAGCCCAAGAAGTAGAGGATGAACAACCCGATGGTGCGAACGTGATCCGCAAGGTTCCAGTTCACAGAAAAGATGTTCAGCTTGTCCAAATCAGATTTCATCTTCCTGAACTCCAGACGCCGAGAAGGACTAGGCAGCTCTACCCCGAAGAAACTCGACACTACATTCATCTCCTCCGCCATCACAGTTTCAACTCTTGTTTTTTCTCCCATCTCTATTTCTTCTTTCCTTCCTTCCCAACACAAATTCCTCTTTCAACAACGAGAGGAGGCGAGAACCATCCGGAAGAAAGCAAACACCTCAATTGGCATATGCTGTGAGATGCAGAGGGAATTCCATTTTTTCTTCTCCTTCACTCCAGGAGCTGTCTTTCGATGGTCGGCTGATTGGTTCGTTTTCTAGAATTAAACCTCCTGCCGCCTCTTCCGTCGCCTCCACCTTGAAATTCGATCTATGTTTAGCGTTTCGCGGTTCACATCGCGACACCTCGAGAGATGAGGTGTAGTTATCAGAGCGTAACAAGGCATCTGGTCGGCAGGAGCCAAAACACTTGCAGTGAGAGCTTACACAGATTTATTTGCGAAAGAACTTGGTGTGTAAAGGTCCGATTCGGTACCTCATTCGACGCGTTTGCCGACTAATTTGCAAGCGCTCCGGACCTCGTCTTCACGAGGTCCCGTGCAGGTACTGAGGGCCCTGCTTCGTCAAAACAGCAGTTACCCAAATTTGCATCTAGCACACTCGAGGACCCGCAAAGACAGCACACGACAGAGGTCTCAACGATCGACCAGTACATGATTTGAAAAGGTAGAAGCCTGCGCACCAACAGCAGCAATAATCGACAAAAGCATTGGTCGTCACGAGTGGACTATCGTCTGAAGGAATATGACGGACGACGAGCCCGCAGGTTCAGTACCCAGGGCGGCCGGCGGTGGTGATTCTGAAAGCGTTTAACGGGGTGGGGTCCGTGTACGATTTGAAGTGTGATAATTCGGACGCTGTCCATCGGATTGCTGATTCTGCATACGGGGTTCGAATTATTCGTTTTGCATCTTTCAATCTTTTTAGAATCACGATGCATCAAAGTCTAGACTGTAGTCCGCATCCGTTCCTTCAGAGAGTGCACTACGACCAATGGAGTTCGAACTTCATGGACTTCACGGGTAAGTAAGAAACTCTACTTTCTTGTGATGTGGGTGATGGCTGCACCCTGCTCAAGCTTGCAGATTGCTCATCGCATCTGCTTGAGATTCAAAGGAAAGAAGTGATTCATTCAATTAAACGGAGATGGAAATATCTGGAGTTGGATTCAGTGTCGTTGGAGAAGAGTTGGATTCAGTGTCGAGGAATGATGTTTAAATCCCTCCTTTTGGAATTCTTCATGCGCCACTTCTATAGAGATACGAAAGCTTGCAAAGAAAGGCGTTCAGATCTGAACGTTTGGCCAACTCGTGAGGTCGAGGATGAATTGACTTCTGGCGTTGTTCACCAGCTTTGCGAACGCCGGACATGTTACAGGTTTTGCTCGTTTTAGGACTTCAGGATCCTAGTGGCTTCAGGATCATAAAGGTGTCATCATTGTTGTCAACTCCTTCACATAACTACGCTAAAACACAAACTACAAGTGAATAACAAATATATAGTTCAGTGTTTTTAGGGTGTGCGGTAAATATGTGGGATTGAGATTTTGATACCGTTATTAGATCCACAATTTCTCATAATAAGGGGTGTTTGAAATGTGATTGAACAGGTCTTAATAAGGATTGTCATAATAATGAGTATTTGCAGTGGATTGAAATCATGTGAATATTGTCATTAAAAATGATAACTTGATTCATGAATGTTTTTATTTTGACTCAAGTTTGGAAAATTGAGACGGTCTTAAGTATGAAGGTGACACGTTTGCTCCCTAGAATTCATTTTTGAATCCATTTGTAGCACATTTATCTCGAAGTGAATTTCAAAACTTAGTTAGAGCATCTTTGGCATATAATAGCAAATATAATTATGAGTTTCTAATAACTAAAACTGTAACTTTCATGCTATGTGAGAGAGCTTTAAATATTGATATGTATCATAATCATGAAAAAAATTGAAATCAATTCTTACATAAAAGCGAAATTAAATTAGGAACAAATAAGATTGTTTGATTTGTCAAATTTTTTTGGATTTTACTTATGAAAATTCAATCATGTAGTTAGTGAAATCTATGTAATATCTTGGAGAGAAAAGACTAAATTATAATGCTAATGTATTTGGAGATAAGAGATGTAGAATGCATTACTATTTTTTGTAAATACATACCCTACTATGTTGGAAGAAATGTTAAAGACAATCCATTAATTTTTTTCCTAACAATTTATTAGACCTAACACTTTCAATATATAATAGACATCAATCTATTAGAACTAATTTTACATGCTATTAGATATGAAAACAAGTTTGTTTGTTTGTTTGTAGTTGTATCATATTATGGCCCATGATCGTAAGGTTTCATTTCATTCAATCTTATTGAATATCAATCATTTCTTTTAGATAATCATATTTGTTTGATTTCAGTTTTACAAAAAAACCACAAATAAAGTCTTCTTCATATATAAGTAATTTTGAAGATAACTATAATCCTTAAAGAATTTTATTTTTTTTTGGAAAAAATTGACCTCAAAAACAGGCCAAAATGTCAAATTAGATAGTCAAATCAATAATTATATTGATATTGGATGTATATGTATGATCAGAATATTTGATAAGGAGTATAAATCTCAAGCATCTAATCATAAAATCAACTTTGTATTTTTATAATAAATTTTCTTAAACTGAAGCTTAGGTATTAAATTGCAATATTTAATTTAAATCATCAGGAGCGTCAGCTCATAATGAAAAATGAATTTTTAAAATAAAAAATTAAATTAATTTTCAATGTAATCATCTCAAAATCTTTTAGATTTAAAATTGATGTGAATGTGATAAAAAATAGTTTAAGAGCATATGAATCTTAAGCAAATAATATGACATAATATATAATAAGGGTTTAAAATACATCTACGCAATTCTTTTCATCATAGGAGTAATTTAATAACTATGCAAATGTTTACACTGAAATTTTATCTCATTACATGCATTTTAAATAGATAACTATTGGTGAACTTAGAAATGAAATTTATATGATCTGATCATTTATATAATATTTATTAAACTTATTGTTTCAAAAATATTATCGAATTTTATAAGTAAGAATACATTGATAGTATAATGTAATGATATTTCATGTATAAAATAACAAATCACATTTTTATATAACATGTTCAAATTTTTTATTGTTGAATATAAAGATAACTATCTTTGGCAACATATAATTGCTAGATTGATGAATATAAAATCAAATCTGATGATTCTAAATTTCTTATTATTATTATTATTTTTAAAATAAATAATTATTTAAAACGCACGGAAATTTCTTAATCAGTTTCAATTAAATTTTTTATTTTTAGATAAAATATCTAGTTATTAGTAAGTTCTCTTTTGTACGAAAATCATCAGTGAAATTATGAACTGAGATTTTAGACTTTCCTGGAGAATTGAGTGATAAATTAAGCACTTGAATAGATTGACCAGGCTTTCAAAACAAAATTAAGTTTTATGTTTAAGATATGTGACTGTGTTGTATGATCCAATCAATTGTAGTCCAAATTTTTAATGAATAGGATAAAAATCTATTGAGAAATGTATTTTATTTTTTATTTTTTAAAGTATTAAACCATAATAGTTTTTTCAGATGTTTCAAATTGCATATCACATACCAATTTTAAATACCGATTTTTGGATTTTTTTTAAAAAAATTAATCTTTTTCAAGAATTTAAAACTTGGCCAAAAGAATTGCTTTAGGACATGAAAAAAAGTCAAAAAAATTTGAAATATTAGATTTCTTTAATCATATCTATAGCTTATTTCAAGAAAAGAAATTTATTTTTAATTTTTATAGTTATAATAATCATCTTAGAAAGAAAAAAACGATGCAAATTTTTTTAGGAATAATTTTCAAAGAATCTCATGATTTTTTTGATTTCAAATTAATTATATTTTTCAATGTTTTAATATATAAAAACGAAAATATTAAGCTTTTAAATATGTAATTTTATATGATTATTTGCAATTGAAACAAGGATTGAATTGTTTATTTCACGCTAATTTTTTTTTAATTTTCAATCTTTTAAAAAAAAACATGATCTTGTGTTATGAGGATTAAGTATAAAACAACATATCATCTTTCTTTCATATACTTATAGACGATGAATACAAACATGAATATTGTGCAATATATAAATGATGATGTTGATTTCAAATATTTTCCAGAAGAGAGTAGTTACTTGATTGTAAAGATTGAAAAATTTTAGTTTTATTGCGCAGTTACATCGTGATCAATCCATCCGTCTAGTCCTAAGATGATAATGTCCAAACGTACTCTACACGTATCTGACTGCTCTAGTTTAGAAAGACATGGAAACTGAAAAATGTGTTAATTTTTAAAAACTTATTCATGACAGAATGTAAACTATTGTTGAAAGCCGCTGGTTTGTGGGTGGTATTTCTTATGAAGAATTGATAAATGATAGGTTTTCTGCATGCATGCATTTATACTCGCGGATCACAATTGAATTTTCAAATAAACTTGACATAAGACTAACCTTTTATTTTCGATGCATGAATATTTCATCAATACAGTATGTTTGATGCTTCTTAAAAACTATGTACAGATATTGCATTGAATTTTAACGTTGTTCAAATGGTAGTTGGGAAACTAATCTGGAAGCGTTAGTGTAACAATACGAGACCAGTGAATTGTTTTGTGCAAATAAATCTTAGTTACATTAAACAAAAAATATTCATTCTAAAGAAAAAATTTTCGAAATCATCTTCTACGGATGACAGTTAAAGGATGGGTTTATCCTGATGTACTAAGTAGGTTTTCGAAAAGAAGCATCGATATCCAGTAGGTTCTATCGAATTATCTACAATCATAGCCTAATCGTCAACATGTAGAACAACATCTTAATGATTTGCTATCAAGTTATTACTGGCAAATCTTTAATTTTCACAGAATCGCAATTAGGTACTGTTGAAAAAACTAAATTACTTCTTATCATTCTAAAATATTTCTGTGAAACATCAAATATATCTTTAGAGAATTTGATTAATCATGAGAAATTTTTTTTTATATACTGTTCATATAATATGAGTATAATTTTTCGGAAGATCATAAAAATATCAAACATTTTGATATTCTTATCATATTTGATATTTTTATGATCTTCCGAAATTTTTTAAATATATTGATAAATGATAAAAGAAATGTAAATATAGATATTCATAGAGCGCAGTAATCTACAAATTGTTTGTCTAGAACGAAGTCATAAAGACTTCGGCCCTAGGCCCGAAAGTTTCTATGACACAAATTCCCTCGGTGCTTGAACCTGTTTTTTCCATCCACTGCAGGCTTAGCGTGGTCTACTCGACTTCCGAGCCCGTCTCGGTGAAGTCTCCGATCGTAACTTCCACGACGGGCTCCATATGTTGACTGAATTACGCAAATGACGAAGAAGTCTTCTCCGAACCTAGATAGCTGGACATTACACAAAAGTATGGAAAAGCCTCAGTGACATATTTCTGCAAATATTTTTCTGAAAAAACTTAAATCTCCTTTTTTAAAAGATTGAGTTGATATTTATTCATATTTTCACTTAGTACTATCTTGAGTCAGAAAATTTATAAGATGATTCACTCGGTCTATTCATTTCTTATGATTTTTATGGCATCGTATTTTTTTTTTATCGTGAAGAGATAAAAAATTCACTGGATACAAACTGAGATATAAGTTTTTTCATAAACATAACTGTCAGAAAATTACATAAAAAACATTTTTTCGACACAAGAATATAGAATGATTACTATCTTAATGGAGTGCTTTTAGTAAAGTTGAGAAGTTATTGAGGCGGAGGAATGTATACTCGGAGAGCTCCCTGAAAGTCATTGTACTCCATATCCCAAGAAAACCATTTCCATACAATTGGGTTAAAAAGCAAACCAAAAGATTAAGGCCCATACTGTGTATCTGGAGTAAACCGAACCCAGCAATTCCCATGGGCTCTACAGAGTGTAACGGATATGTGTGAAAAACGTAACTCTGTGTAACTGTGCAGTGTGTAGCCGGAATTAATGGTGGCAGTAACAGGGAGCTAGTTCTCGCTCATGACCTGCAGTTACAAGGTGAAGGAATCCTTTTTACTGTAGAGAAGTCCACAAAGTCAAAAAGCAGTGCACTTTTGTACCCAGAACTTTGAGTGGCACCCAAGATTGTGGAGATAAGATTCAAGATTCCAGTCGTCTGCTCTTTCATTTGCCCTCCAGCATTCCTGTAGATTCTGGCGCAGATTCTCTCTGCAGCTTAGTCTGCCCACAAAGTGTGGAAGCATTCAGACCGACTGTTCAAGATTCGCCCGCTTTACCTCCAGGTCACTCACTGTACATGAGAGCAGGACACAGCTTATGGAACGATCGAGGAAGAAGATCCAACGGATTCGTTGATCTTTCACCACACGGTGTTCCCAGAAAAGCGTCCACTTGTCAGTCTCCTTGTTCTCCTCGACAGCCAGTTTTCAACCTGACGTCATGGCTTGACCCATCTAATAAATGTAGTCGAAACTTGTCTACACATCGAGAGGAAACGGTTGAATCGTGCACAGCCATCTGAAGTACACCGCGTTTACTGAGACGAAATGGGTGGGATCGATCGGCATGTCAAAGCCTTTACTCCGAGCCTGGACTAACTCCGGCTTCACCACCTTAACTGCACCTTCAAACAATTGCGTGCTGTAAGCAAACAAAGATTGGTGAAGTACCGAGTAATACAGCGAAAACGATGATGTAGCCTCCTCAAACTCAGCAAAATTTGAGAGAGGATATTTTTATCCCACTTATTGAGCTGGAATCGGGGTCCAAAATTCCAAAGCTGACCGTGTGAGGTGACTTAGCTGTTAGTGGTTGAGATATCATGCAATCAGAAATGCACCAATCAGACTCGTAACTGTTGTTGACCAGGAAATTGCGACCACACGGCATGCTCTACAGGCAACAAGTCGGACCTCTGTTCTTCACACATGCACTTCGTACTAATTTAGTTAAGCCGAGGCTGAGCGAGCGAGCGAGGGAGCGAGCGAACGACTGACTTGAGTCGGAGGCAGTACAGGACGATCTGCCTTTACGGTTAAGGAATGTCGCCGAGCTCGTCTAGTTCATTAAGTGCGGCTACGGAAGCATGAACGAGCATGTCAACAACAGTCTTGTCCAGAGGTCGTGATTGTTTTGTCCTCTTCTTTTGTTTACTATGCTGACTGCAGTTTCGGTCCTTGAACACAACCGTGCAAGAAGTCCCAGCAGCTGTTTTTTACGTCAGTATCTGCAAGCGACAGAGCAAAAACTGTCCGTCCTGTTACCTCTTTGAATGTCACCCCTGAATGCTCCTCCAGTACAGTTGCATGGATCCAGTATGGTAAGCCTGTCAAGGCATGTGGTAGCCACCGTCCAGACTGGAGAAAGAAACAGAGTCTACTCGATTCTCTAGAGGCTATTCAGAGATACTCCAGGCGACTCGCGAAGACGATTTCATCAGGGCTAAACCACGAGCAAATGTGGAGCCAGCACTTCCTCTTGAGCTTTGCCGAGCTTTTGCCCCAGTTGGCTATCGAAGCGTCGGCGCATTCCCATTACCTTCCTCTTCGCGTGCATCACATTTGCAGACATTTGCGTTCGACACAAGCCGTTTGGATCTGATAACATACATTTCTACATATACCTGGATGAAGTCATTACCTTCCGCATCGAGAGGAGCTGGTATGTGCATAATCTGCGAAACAAGGTTACAGATATGAATGGGATATAAAATGTATACTTTCATGGAATATTAGCTCTGTCGCATACGCCGGCAGCCGTACGGTCAGAAACTGAGAAACTGGTTCAGGACTTTGCGGAGGCTGACCTGGTCGGAGTACGAGAAAGAGTGAATCAGATGACTCAGCGAGCCAGCCCAAAAAGCGAACGACGGGCTCGTCCAGCGGGTTGTTAGCACTGGTTGACTTCGAACCGTTTTCTCAACTTGCACGAGCGAATGTGTTGAACGCATAAAATCTGAGACGATCCGACAAGCGAATAGAAGACGTATTTTGGAAGAAGCTTCTGCATTTTGATGGTAGTCATCGAGGCGTCAGAAGATTCCGACCCACGGTCGCAGAGATGAAGTATGCCATTCAACGAAGTTGGAATCCAAACACGAGAGGGAGCAAGAGAGAAAGATGAACAATCAGGCTGATCAAAATTCGCAGTGAGGGTGTTGAGGTGAATGAGTGAATCAAGTCAAAGGTGCTCGAATGCAATATACTCAGTCAGCAGCGAAGAGATTTGATGTCCTCTTAGGAAAAACGACCAGAAAAAGACGGAAAGTAGACGTGAATGCCCAAAATGGCTTAAGAATAGAAGCAGTTGAACAGCATGAAGTCAGCAGAAGCAGACGGAATCTTGACAGTTCTGAGAGAACTGCAGGATAGATATATAACTCAAGATAGGCCAAACAAGTGAATTTGACTTGTCTCACAAAGCTGGGCAACCCCCTGGACATTATCCAGGACCTATGCTACAAGTACTGTATTGAAAACTAAAACGTCCTGAACAAGCCGAAGTATAAATTTTCTGTGACATGAAGTGTGCCAACTGCAGATGGATGTTCGTTTAATATAAGGTACGCAAATCGAAGACTGGACTGGCCTTTCACGAGTCGGATGAATCCTTACAGACAGGCGCGAGCACATATCAGGCCCTCTGCTTCACCACCGAGAAACTTCAGGGTATTCAAAGTCTTGAAACTAGCGTATAAACACTACCGATCCAGAATCACGAGCGGCCGCCGAGCCAGCGGCCACTGCGACTGATGACAGGTGCCAAGTGAACGCAGAGATTCTGCGTGCACTTGGCATTCGGAGAAGATTTCCCAGCCGTTCTTGAGTCGATCCATCATTGTCGAAGTCGACTAGGAACCATCTCTCGAAAGATACTTTGAAGCTCGAGATTCTAGGAGTACAGTATGTATTATCAGCAAATGATTTTTCTATTACCACTGGCAGAGGCGGGTGTTGATGTCGTTGTCTGTGAGACTGGACCCAAAGCCGTGACTTATTCAGAGATCGATCGACTCTCAATTCGATGTGCTCGTGACACTCGTTGACATTCAACTTTCGAGCTGAAAATTTTAGTCGAAGTCGGCGATCTATCAGAGAGTCCGGAGCTCTGATCATGGAGTAGCAGTAGGAACGGTTTGCCTGATATCCAAGTTTCTGCTTTTATTCGAGCCCTCGTTTCCGAACGGGGCGGTGAGGAATTGAGGCTGCTCCTCGATGTGGTAAGCCTGACCACCATGTCTGGTCAGATCCATACCCGCCATCTCATCATCGGGCGAAATTCTCAGAAGATGGAATTTGTGCAAGACCCAGAACAAGGGCCCCATGGTGGCAACCACCCATCCTGTGATAACGAGAATTTCGATCAACTGGGCCGCAAGAAGCCTTCCTCCTCCGCCCATGAAAAGACCATGCCCTCGGTCCGGTCCATACGCCTCGAGAACGTACTGCTTCGTGGCGAAAAGACCTGTGAAGAACAATCCCCAAGCACCACAACCTCCATGCAGCTGGGCAGCCTCCAGTGGATCATCGTACTTGAGCTTGGCGGCCAGGAAATTGAAGCCCATCAGCACCCACGCAGCGCCAAAGCCACAGATGATAGCAGCCCATGGCTCGACCACTGCACATCCGGCCGTAATGGCAGCGAACCCCCCGAGCAGGCCATTGCAGACGTCGGTCACATTCCAGTGCCCTGTCATCCACCTCCGACCGAACAACGTGGTAAGCGCGGCCGCGCATCCCGCGAGAGTCGTGGTAACTCCGGTCCGGCCGACTCCAGTCCAGTTGCCTTCGAACGTCGAGTCTGAGAAGGGGACGTTGATCTTCAAGAACGAACCGGGGTTGAACCCGAACCATCCGAACCAAAGCAGGAAGCTGCCGAGCACCACGAGCGAGGCGCTGTGGCCGCGCATGTCCATCCCGGGGCGACCGTCTCGCCCGAACCTCCCGATGCGAGGGCCCTCGATCCACGCTCCCATGAGACCGGCGATGCCTCCCACCATGTGCACCACGCCGCTGCCGGCGAAGTCGATGGCTCCCACTCCGAACAGCCGACTGCCGCCGGCTGCTGCTCCGAGCCAGCCGTCCGCGGACCAGAGCCAGTGAGCTACGATCGGGTAGACGAACCCGGTGAGGAAGGAGGAGTAAACCAGGTAAGCGACGAACTGCGTCCGCTCCGCGATCGAGCCGCTGGTGATTCCTGCTGCGGCGATGGCGAACGCCCACTGGAAGAGGAAGAAGCTGTAGTCGAGAGAGTTCTCGGCGTTCGGGTAGGCGTGCAGGGCGAAGAAATTGCTGCCGATGAATCGATTGTTATTCGAGCTGCGGCCGAAGGCGAATCCGAATCCGAAGAGATAGAACGAGATTCCGCCCGCCGCTGCGTCCAGCACGTTGGTGAGCATGATGTTCATGGTGTTTTTGGCCCGCACCGAGCCTGCGCACAGCATGGCGAATCCGATCTGCATGGAGAAGACGAGGTATGTGGAGAAGAGCAGATACGTGTTGTCGATGGCGTAAGTCTGACTGACGAGCGCTGACGAGATGCCATCGAATTTCCCGCAGAGAAAATCCCCCACTTGCTGTGCAGCGGACTCAGTTGCGCCTCCGGCTGTCAGCAAGGCCGTGATATTGCTCAAACCCTCCGCACCGCAGCCCGCCATCTTCGCCTACTTCTCTCGATTGCCCAAGGGCCTTGTGTACCCGATCCCTCTTCTACTTCTGCCCACTCAATTTCATTCAGCTCGTCGAATTGATCCTCGTGCCAAGCTCTCGGGAACCACCGATTAGACACGAAGCGAGGCTCTTCCAAAGTACTTCTGGGAGAGTAGCGAGCTACTTATAGGAGAGCGATGGTGCTTTCCATGTAGCAAAGAATGATTGACTCTCTTACGCAACTCACTCTATATACCGTCCCATCTCCGACAGACCCGAGACCTGGGCCAGGTCGCTTGTGGTGCTGCCTGGAGAGATGAGGAGAGAGAGAGAGAGAGAGAGAAGTGCAAGTGATGAGTTGCCGAGGGCGATTCGCGGCCTTTTATAAATATAAATCTAGAGCCGAGGAAAAAGTGTCCACCCGCCCCCGCTAGCGCTGCTGCTGCGCACAGTGCGATCTCTGGCAGCTGCTTTCTGCCCGAGTATTGTGAGCTGCGCCGTGCCAGCCAGCTCGACCCCGCCAGTCGACCACTGTTCGGGCGTGTTCGTAGACTGCTGACAGTGGATCTGAGCGCTGACCTCGGGCCTCCTTTATCCTCCGTCACACTCAACTCTGCCCCCACGCCCTGGCCTTGTTTCCCTTCGAATAGAGCAGGGGCTTATTTGGAGAGTGCTCTGCTCCCCTTCAGGTGACCCAGGGGCTCCTTCCCACATGCTCGAGCTTTGGCTTGGTCGCCGGTCCAAATCATTACCATCGAGATCCCCCCTTTGATTAGCATCGCATCTCCGAACCCGGAGCCCGGGCCTTCCCTTTCCTGGTTTGACCCCACCTGTCACCACTACCGAGGGCTCTGAGATTTGGCCTCTCCGGAGCTGCTGCTCCCACCTCACTCTGTCATCGAATGGCTCGATTGGCGAACGCGGCGACTAGACCTCCTTTTGGACCCGAGGCTTCTGATTAAAATACGTGACGCGATGGTACTTGCAGAGGAATCTCCTTCATGTCTCGAGCCCGGGGAGGAGACGAGAGGCTCTCGAATGGACCGTCGCAGGGGGAACTGGAACAACGCCGTGACGTCTAGCGGAACACGGAGCTGTACTGGCGAAGACAGTAGAGGCGAAAGGGCGTGATGAGTCTGTCATTTTCGATTAAAACTCGGATACATTTAGTGACGGGGCCGGGAGGAAAATGCGAGCAAGGGTCTCTTTGTGAGGAACAAGGACTGGCAGAAGGGCTGCTTTAGTCACTAATAATAATCTGTAGTGGAATCCCCTAGCACTTGAGACAACCGTGCGGAAATATGCTGGAACGGGCCCGTGTGTCGATTCTGTCACGTGGTGGCCCGGCTGACGACACACGGTGCGGTGCAGCAGCGGGAAGCATTTTGCCGGTTGGAGATTCTCATGCTAATTTTCGCAGCCTCTGGCGTGCAGTCTCGAGCCCTGTCTTCTCATCGGTGATTTTCAGGCTGACCATTAGCCTCTTTCGTTCGTGGGTCTGGAGAATTTTAATCGGTGGCATACAATAAGATTTCAATGATAGTGCATCTTATCCCAGTTTCGCCACTTGCCAGGGCTGAAAGTTCACATGGAGAATGAGCGCTAGTGCTCAATACGTTCTGTCAGTCCGGATTCTGACACTTTATGATGCAAGGCCTTCAGCCAAGTGCAAGATCTCCGTGCCCCTTATTCCCGGATTCTCCACAGAATAAAAGGAGGCTAAACTCTTCTCGGGACATAAGACAAAAGAAATTTCCCAATTTCGTCCGTCAGCATATTCAGATTTTTCTGCTCCCTACTCTAACAACACTCCATTTCCAATCAGGGCTTACTGACAGTAAACCTTTCCTGGCGAATAACGTTTTAACAGCAGGATGCTCTACAAGCAGAGTGCAGATGGGCATGTTTCCAAATCTCATATATATTAACAAATGAAGCGATGGGTCCTGGTATCGTTCGGACACTTTGAGGTTTCGATGGCTGGGTAGTGAGATTGCTGTGTCTGTGACAAGTAGCGTCTTCGAGTTTATTCGAGCAGCCTTAATTAGATGCAAAGGATTTTGTGTGGACCAGCAGCCTTTAATCATGCCTCGGCAATTGTCATTGTCATGCCAGCGGTGAGCAAGGGATCACATTTCGTCAATGCTCGTGAGAGAGAAACTCGTCTTCGGCATAAACATGAGAAGATACGCGTGCACTTTATCAGCGCTTCGGAGGATTTGCACTCCCAATTCTACTCCCTGCAAAAACAAGGGCTGGATTTCAGGTACCGGGAATCTGCTTCTGTCGTCAGATCTGCGGCCAACACAATGTTCTTCGTTTTGGTGAGTAGGAAAAAACCTCTGTAGAATGAGTGACATGATTTTTCGATTCATAACACCGGATATCGAATTGACATTCGAATCAGACACTTTCATTTGAAGCTATTATCCCCCAGCTTCAAAACATTCTGTTCAGAGATACATGTTTTTTATCTTAGGTGTATTTCTACCGAGAAAAGCTTCAGAAGATTTGGAGTTTTTAATAATTTGGTCGAATGCTTGTTCACTAGATGCTCAGCATCTTCAAAGGAATCTATGGGAACATGGGAGGACTGGGTGCTTAACCGACCGAGAAACAGAACGCAGAAAGAGATACGACTGAAGGAACTCACTAGAAGCGCCCTTCTCGCTATTCTGCTAAACTAGAGGGAAGACTATAGGACGTGTAGACTTGGATGTACAGTATTGGAAGGCTGATTGCTCAAATGGCGCAATCGCTTGAACACGTACGTGGTCATTCACTCCACAGTGCGTAAAGACGTCATATATTAGCAGATAGTCAGTCAAAGTTCTTGCTCGAGCATCCATCCACCAATGCATCCATCCCTCCAGCTATCACACGTCATTCATCCACAGCTTCAGAACCTCATCTCCCTCGAGGTACTACAATGAACTTTGGAATCGACAGGCACATTATGTAAGTGTTTGGATCACAAAATGTTTGTGCATCTTTGCACTCGTCGCTCCTGAGCTGCAAAGGGAAACACTTTTGCTGATGAAAGTCGTAAGAGAAGGACTTAGACATTGAGCCTCAAGACATTTACTTTTGTGTAAGTGGAGAGTAAGTGGTTGCAAGAAACAAGTTGCTGCATACAAAAAAATCTGGATTTGAAAAAACGAACACTCTTATCGAGGTGATTGCATTGGCTACTGTTACAGTGAACATATTTCTCATGGAAAAATGTGCTCTGCTCCGCCAAGTATGATGATGATGATGATGCTGGAATTGTTCGGGTGATCTTGGGAGACAGTACGATAAAGGACAATCTCGGGAATCCGTAGATTGCGAACAGTTACGTCTTGGTGAGACAAGGGTCTCCGTCTCATGAAGTCCTCGAAAGTACCCTCTCAACCTTCCCTTTACCTCAAAAGACCAAGCCGTGATGTCGATCTGGTGCTAAACAGGAGTTCACGAACTAAGCAAGCAAGCAAATGTTATTCGGAGAACATGGCTTGGTGGGAGAACATGATCCTCGAGATGGACGATATTTCCGACTCCTCACAACAGCATTTCACGGATGTACCTTCAAAGGCTGAAATAGTCCGTTGCACATTGCACATGGTAGTGGCCTCTGGACAGTCTTAAGTGACCATTTTTTGAGGATAATGGACACTGTTTCGCCATGTTTATACACTTGCCTCTTCAATTAACGGACGCCTCGGGGCACTGTTGATTCTTAGTCAACTTTGAAGCTGCTGATTCTATGTCAAGACACGAATGCAGAACATGATAACAGAACCAGCCGCGTTCTGTCGGCAATAACTTCAGACGATTTAAGGTTCGATCCATTTCTACCTCTTGCCTTCAAGTTGCTGGAGAAATGTCAGCACATAGACTTCAGGGCAGAACTTCAGGAGACCGTGAAATATTACCTCATGAAAGTTCATGTCTAAAGGATGATGTCACCAACATGGTGCGGATGTTCACGTATCCACATAGGAGGGGAAGAACCATGGCAGAGACGTCATTCATGAACCTCTCGTTAACTTTATAATAATAAGCCTATATTAACTTCTCCAGAGTCCACTTGTGAGCATACTGTAAAGTGAGTGGCCGCCAAGATTCCATCCAGATCGTTAGATATTTGATCGAATCTTGTGTGATTTCACGCAATCAGAGTGATTACACTACAAACAGAGATAACGACAAAGCTTGTGATTGCTCAGGCGATTCTCACCTTTCAGTTATAAATAGTTAATTTGCATTTATTCCCAAAGGGCTATTGTCTCACCTCTTACTCGTTCTCCAGGATGAGTCAGTTTAGCTTCTTCCGGATCATCAGAATCCTTTTGGTTTAGCAGTTTGGTTGATTTTAACGAGAGTCAACGACTTTTTGTTTATAAGCACTTACTCACAATTTCTTTCAGTTTTTGTTTATCGCCATTATAAACATGGGCAGAATCTTTGGAGAATGCTGATTGAAGGTGATGCATAGAATTCAATCTCGTCTCGCGTAGTGCAATGCAGTATCCCAGTATACATATATGAAAAGTTTAAAAACTCAATTCTTCCGAAACTAAGATCGCCCTTTGATCGAAACAGAAGGTGATTCTGAAAACTGATCTTAGATCTAGAGACCCCGTTCGGTTACTGTATCCACGAAGGTAAATACAAAAATGGTGTCCACTGGAGATACAGTAGTGAGTGCATGTTACCGCCAGTTGTTTAAATGTTACCTCAAGCGCACACTTGAAATGATCTGATTCAAACTTGGCCATCCATTTGAGCCCCCCGAGCCTGTCTCTTCAAGCATCTATTTCAACTTTTCCTTCAAACAGAGGGTATGACCTCCAGAGTCCAGAATGCATCATAGGTTCGGCACCTAATAGGATTCGTGTACATGTCAGTAAATTTATAATGTGCACGGCGATTACTCCATCAAAGCCAGAGCATTGAATAATCGGTTTCATCTACCTCTTCGTCAAATATGTCAAGACTCCATTCCAATCTTTCAGCACATTTTACTGTTGAGGAAGCATTCAAACTTTGAGAGGTTGGCCTCTCCAGAATCTACCGTATGTGCCTCTCGCCAATCAATAGTTTTCTCTGCTCGAACAAGTTTCAGGAGTCCTGAATTTTAGAGCTCTCCTGAAGCTTTAGATATGCCGGATACATATACTCAGTGGTCATGAGGTCACCTTACAGAACAAAGATGGTAGAAAGTCAAAAAGCTTCTTATCAACTGTTATGCAGGTGACAAGGATTATTTGCAACCTAACGTAAACTTCGCATTGCACTTTCACTTGGTTACATGAATCGCTGTTTTATGAATCGTAAGGTTAAACTCGAGGGCATCGTCTCTACGTACTATGTCGTACGGAGTGTGCACAGTATTATGTGAATGTGGAGTAGTTAGATCGTCATCCCTTATTTGTTCTGTATAAAACTAGCAGTGGTAGGTTTATCAATTGTTCCTGACATCAGATGGGCGAAAAATACATCGAGGTATAGAAGAAACAACAAGAGCGATATCATGTGAATCAGCCTGAAACCAGTAGATAAATAATGGGTTGCTTTATCAATTAACGAGGAAAACTTATTACTTGTAGACTGACTTACAGAGCGAGACAACAACACAACGAGGTTGACATCTAACAATTTGTAAAAACATAAATCCAGCTCGTGAGTCCAAATACAAGAAGTAAGAGATGAAGTATATTGCGTACTGAAGGATATGTAGAAGAATCCAATGGATAGAAGATACTAACTTGCTTTGGAGATATGTCCTTGTCATACGATTAAAAAGTGAGTGGGATCAGATGAGATTGTAATATTGCAATATCTAATAAAAAAATGTTAAAAACTGAAATCAAGTGGATTTAATTATTTAGTGGATCTCAAGAAATATTCACTTCGTCCTGAAAACCTACGCTGGTGTACAAGAAACAGGGACCTGCACTTATGCACTGTAAGTAGCTCTCCTTATAAAGTCAAACACCTCTTTTTCATGAGACTTTTGGAAATGACAATCATTTGCTCAAACATCACCCAGCACTTATTGTCAAGCATTCATTTACTAGCATCAATTGAAAAAGGTACATAAAATACATGCCTTTGTCGAAGATTGCTGTGTACCCTTAGAGCAACTTGGTTTGAATATTTTCCACTTGAACATGTTTAGCATGAGGGATGAAGTAAAAGTAAGTTGGGATACTCATTTCTTCGTGCGGTCTGAGAAGTGTCTTGTATGAATTGTGCCAATACTAGGTGGCTACGCAGGACAAAACTTCATCACAACTGCATAATAACTGAAACTGGTGAAGTACCAAAAACTACCAAAAACTTGGTGAAGTACTTAATAAATAAATTTCCACATGTCTATAAGAGTAAGTCTGCTTAGGTTACAATACTGGTGTTCATTAAACATATAATCATCATACGTCATCATGTGAGCTTATCATCATGATTCAATCAGTTGAAACGTTGGTCGGCGGTACAGCTCTTGTAACTACGAACGAATCACGTTTGTTTGGATTTTATGATCTTCTACCTTCTCTGAAATGGTTAACACAATTTTGGTTCAAAATAATGCTGCAACTTCTTTCATGCGCAATTGAATGTCCTTGAAGAACATAACAATATTGTGGAAGGAACAAATACGTGATTCGTTCCAGGTTGGAGTGTATTGAGTTATGGAAAACGTAAATTCATCAAAATATCCAGTGTATTGATTGGAAAAATAGGGAGGTTCTTATGATTGCAAAGTGTTGAAGAATACTATTGAAATGGAGCATTTAGAATGAACTAAGAAAAGGGAAAGGATTTTTTGAACATTTTACGTGCTCATATGTATATATTACTTGAAGGAAGAAAGTTGGATTCCTCATCTTTTAAAGTCTCTATTTAACCTAAAGAATACTTAAATGAAATTTCTTCCAATTCATTAGCGTTGACAAGTTCTTCAATGAGATCTTCCACACTTCCGAAGGGATTGGAACGACCCGTCGGTTGGCGATGACGATAAAATGAATTTACTCCTGAAAACATAAAGGAACAGCTATTTGTCATGTCGAGCATAGATCGACCACTAGCAGATCATCTACTCCACTGACATGCTAGCAATACCGGACTAGGTGGGGCCAATGGGTCCCAGTCCTCGATGCTTGAAGAATCTCCCAGGTTGCTGGAAGCTGCATCCAGACATCATGTAAGCCAACATTGTACAACTGTGTACGATATCTCCCAGCGTCTTGGAGACTGTTCGAAACAGTCCCTCGGCTGCTATTGCTACCAATAGCGAGTTGATGATGTTCACTGTACACATTCTTAGGCACGGTAATGATCCGAGACCATGCTTTGAAAACAATATTCAACCAAGATCCCCTTGACTAAATAAATTTCACTTGTACGTGGTGATCACAAGCAAAAACATACCAATCATCCCTTGGTACGTTGAAATTTGTGAGTTCTATTGGGCATACCACTATTTCATGTAGACTGAACAAGTGTGTGAGGACATTAATGCAGGTTCAGACTTTATATTATTTTCACGGGTCAAGAAAAACCCACCATCCTCACTGGTTCCATAAATACGAGCTAAAACAGGATTGATAGATATTGATCTCAAGATCAAGCTTTTCGCTGTTGACGCCAAGTTTGTGCTCTCTGGCCTTTGATCGTGTCAAAAGTTTAGAGCCGTATTGGTGGAAGAAACATTCGGACAAAGAATAGAAAGTAAGAAATGTCAACGATCCTTTTGTCGGAAAAAACTTACCAAGTTTTAGAGACGTTTTGGTCTCAAGATCAGCTCCAAAAGATTCATTCATCGGATGAAATTTGCAAGCAATGAATCCCAAAGAAGATAGACATGACAAAAACTCACAGGTATATTGCATGTAGTTACTACATTGTAGTATAAGAAAAAGTTCACTGTACAAAAGTGATGAGAATCCATGACCATGTCTGCAGGGTTGTGTACGGCACATCGGAGGCTTGTATTCAATTTCTACCTCGTTATTCTGCATGAAAGTTCGTATAGTCTCAACCACCCGATGAATCTCGTGGTTCTTGGCCATAAAACGTTTTATTTGGAAGCCATGCTAACAAAAGGGTATGATTTTAAATCCCCTATCGTTTGCGAACTTTGTGTCCAGGGAAAGTTCGACCAACTGAAAATGTTCTGTTGGTGAACCAGACAAGTCTGTAAGCCCATACGTGTGACGTTAGAGTATGATGGTTCATGACGAGAGCAAAAGTGAGTTCTATCGCTCAAAG